TAAAGCTAAAATGATATACGAAAATTTTGATTTACCAAAAAAAAAAAAGGTAGAGTTTTTTAAAATAGTGTTTGTTTTTTAAAATGTTTCACCATAGAATTCCAATCAATAGCATTGTACTATATATTAATTATCGAAAAGACTATATTCTCATAACTTTTAGAAACACATCAGCTATAAAAATCAAGTCTGCCACAATTCACATAAAACTAAATAGAAAAAGAAAAGAAACAGTGGGAAGTTCAAGGAATTTATCACAAGAGGAAAAGAGTTTAAGTCAACAATCGGGGTTGTCCATCTTATTATTGGCTCATCTTCAGATCAGGAAGCAAGGCGAAGAGAAAACAGAAGGGTGCTTGTATGACTGTTTTCTAGCCATTCTCCTACAACCTCAGATGAAGAACATATCATTTGCTACTAACCTCAAAGTCTTAACAAGGTATCCCTGAATGCAAGGGTCTCCAGAGACAAGAGCAACTTTGTGCTAACTACAACCACACTCTATATTCATCTCCTCTGGGAATCTAATAATAGCTACACTTTTTGAAAGCTTACTATGTTCCAGGAACTCTTCCAGGCTTTTCTGCTCTTCAACAATCCTTCGAAGGAAGGACCACCATTCTCCCCATTTTACAGATGGGGGAATACAAAGCCCAGAGAATTTAAGAAAATTGCCCATAGTCACTTAGCTCTTAAGAAGCAGAGCCAGGTGTTGGAAGCTGGCAGGCTGCTCCAAAGATCATGCTCTTGTCCTTTCTCCTTATGTTGCTCATGAATAGAACATCAATCAATAAGAATCTCTCAATTCCCTGATTTTAAGAAGATCACTCCTCACACTGAAAAGAGACCTTGATTTCCATCCTCTGAAGCCCACTCTCTGCATATGTACGGTGCTGGAAAAAAAAAAAAAAAAAAACACCTTTCACATCCTGGCTTTGAGAAAGCTCTCGGTGGTTCTCAGGCTTCACCTCAGATTGTCTCACAAAGCCCACTACACCTTCAGAGTGGGTAATGGAAGGAACAAACCTGCAGTGTGTTATGTGAGAGGGGCCACCCTCAGACGTAAATAGATCTTTGTTACATCAACTACACCACTGGGGTTAAAAGGAAGCCCACATTGTCACACCAATGTTTCCAGTCAGGACCTAGAAGGTATAAAATAAATATTGAGTTTATAATAAAAAAAAGTTTCAAAAAATGCCCTTGGTCTCCAATGAAAAGACAAAAGCCTGAGGCAGCCCTCAGTTAAATCTTTGCACCCCAACCCTACTTTTGTCCCCACTCTCCACGGCCACCCCCATTCTTCCCATCCACGTGAGGAACCCTCATGCAGCCCTGACGTTAACGCTCTCCACTTCTGCTCCTCACTGAGGCTTACCAGCTCTGAAAGTACCCAAGGCCCTCTCTCCTAATTTAAACTCCCCTCTTCACCTAGTCCATCCTGCCACCTGCTTGGAATCGGAAAAGGAAGCTCTTCTATGAAGTGACGCTTTTCTTTCACTAGATATTAAGGAATCACTAGAAGAACATCCTGTCCTGAGAGGAAGATTGGATAAGATGTCTTCTAAGTCCCTTCCACTTAAAAGTTTATTATTAAACAGACCCATACCAAATAGTGAGTGACAAATACCTTGCTCCTGAAAATCTGCACTCCACTGCAAAGGTGTTTGCTTGCTACATCCCTAGTGGGATTTAAGATAGTAGTAGGATGCTTACATCCCACTACTCAGTCTCCTGTTCCTCGGTATACAACTGGGCTGAGGAGAGGAAAAATCAAGAAGCCTTTGTGGAAACTTAGCCACCTACTTGTGGGTGAGGAAATAAAAGGAAGGGAAAATGAAATGAATAGGAAACCACTCCAAGACCACTCAAAAAACACTGACATGCATAACTCAAGGGCCCCTGGAATGTGGATGACACCTGGGACCACAAGCCTCCTTCCCTGCAGGTGGACACAGTCAAAAGAAGTCAGCCAACATTCATCTCCTTTTCCCCATCAGCTTTCTCACCAGAACCGAAGATTTAGATTGCCTCAGCTCCAAAAGAAATAATAATAATAATAATAATAATAGCTCTCTCCTTAGGCCATAATCCCCATCTCTTCCAAATCTGACCTATTTATCTCAAAAGAAAAAAATCTCTAGGTTTCACTTGGGTGGACAGTGGACACTATTCATCATTGATAAACATAATATAAATGTTAATAATATGCTTGTATGAAGAATAGCCATTCTACTAAATAAAGTCAGACAAAAAATCACTGCTATCACCTCTAACCCCCATTCTGCCCCCAGAAATGCCAGTCTCCATAAAGGTCTCTACTTCCTCACCTACAGTAGCTTTTATTCAAGCAACTGGGTAAAAGGTAAGTGAACCACATCATATTCGATTTAATTGTGTTTTCTGTTTAATTAACCAAAAAACGTATATATAATAGTTTTCCTTCTATTCTTTTCCTTGCAAACACAAGCTAATTTAACTGGAGAATTGATTTAAAAGGTTTTTGTGAGCTGACCTGACACCTAAACACTTAGAACACTATCTCATTACCAATCCTGCTTCAACAACTGACCAACTTTTAGCATCAAGCTGTTAGTATTTGGAATACAACCCCTGCCTGTATTTTAGGAAGGAAGCTTTGTACTGGGAATATCAAATGAGCACAAGCTAGGGGCCAGGGGAGACACAGCTGAGAGTGTGGGAATGCCACCAAAATGTGCCTGAACCTAAAGTCAACAGACGGCTTGCTCATCCATCAGCATCTTGGGCTTTCGGTACCAATTTATTCTTAAAGGAGGATAGTTTATCAGTTGGAATCATCTTAGAAAATTGGAAAAATTAAAACACAAGCCAATACTTCAAGCATTGCTCTGTAAAAAAATGTTGCATGCCTAGTCACACGTAAGGCCACAGCTTTTACAAAATGTAGCCAAATAATGGGAATCAAGGGGCAGATTTTTCTTGACTATTGAAGTCAGGAAAATTCTCCCCCCTAGAATGGCTCTGATTGGCAGATATTTTCTGAGAAAGGACAGCTAAGGCCTGTGGTCATTTCATGTCAATGGCTCAAACGAGTTGGTCTCCTCTCCTCCTTTACCCCCCCTCCTCTCTTTTTTGCCAATCCCTATGGCTATATCACAATCTGCTACCCAAAACACGCTCATGGCAGTGGCTTAAAGGGACAAGAATCACCACAAAAGAACGCACACGCTTGAATGCATGTCTTCTGCAACTCATTGATTAAATATGCCTATGGTGATTTTTCTCAAAAGAATTTGTCAGATCAAAATTATAAATGACTTGAAACTGCTGGTATCTGTTTCATTTGGCTATCAAGGTGGTCAGGATGTCTAACTTAGGAAGGAGAAAATGACAAAACGTCCCAGGAATCAATAGACCCTTGTTTTGCCTTAATTTTACTAAAATTCACCCCTAATTTGATTGATTGGAGGCAGCATCAACTGTTAATTCTATTCCATGGGATTAAAGAGAAATCAAACAAAAAAAAATTGAAATAGTATTACCTAGGTACAAAGTTAAGCTATAAACTCTGAAATAGAACACGCTTACTGTGGTTAACAGATATAAACTGTGTACAAATTTAGCAACAACTCATCATATTAGATATAGTGACCTTTGGCATTGGCATTTTCCACTATCATTTCAGATGGCACTGGTAAAGATGGCAGAAGTAATCTAATCCATTAAAACCCATGTCCCAACAGAACTGCGCTTCCGAAATAGCCTCAGCAGAAGCAACATCTTTTCACACTTACTTTTAAGGAAACAAGGCACTATTTTAAAAGAAATAGTGCATTAAGCATGATCAATGGGTGAGAATGAGTTTCAATAGCAAGTCAATTAATAATATCTGCAACATAAACACCTGGGGAATCTGTGAGGGTAATGCGCTCACAGTGAAGAATGAAAAAGACTAACAAAACATATTCAGTACTGTCCATCTTTAGGAGAAAGCATTAAAAATGAGCTGCTTTTTTTTTTTTTTTTTACCTATAAGCCATCAAATTGATTCTTCCTAATAAGGGTTTTTAAAATGGTATTTCCCACTCAGAACATGGGACTCTAAGAAACGTGACTGGTTCTACTGCCTTGTAGCACAAACAAACAGAAACAAGTGCAAGATAACCTATGGCTTAAAAGTACTCACAAAAATGTAGAAAATGAGTAGTTCACACATAGCCCAGCTACAAATAGCTTCCCAAATTCCTTCATTTACATCTTTGAACTAGGAATGTACCACCCAGCTGGTATCACAAGATGTCCTAATGTCATAGGGGACAGGGAACGGGAGACTAATAGAAATTACTGGTGGCTACCAGCACTTCAAGCCTGCAAAGAACAAAACTATTAACCAAAATTACTTCCTAGCATCAGTTTGAACGATGGGAAGGCATAGTTCTAGTGCAAAGGGAAAAAGTAAAATGAAAATAAACTGACCAATTTCAATTATTTGGAAACTTCATACCAATCTCATGTTCACGCTTTCCCCAATTAAAAATCTTACCCAATATAAAGTAATACTACATAAGTAACTAAACCTTTAAAAAATAAAGCCAGGATTCCAAGTTGGGCCTTTTGCATAGGCTCTTTCTTTTCCATTTCCTTTCTCAGCTGCCTGGCTTCTAATAAGACAAATTTTTGGCAGGAACATAGGAGGTATCTAGACATTTGGATGACTTAGACAAGGAAAGTCTAAATGAACAAACCCTGGCATGCAGAAATGAAGCAGTCTTTTAAAACCCAAGAGCCAAAACAGAGGCTAAATAATATAATGCTTTCTCATAAGGAAATTTACTTTTTAAAAAATGAGATATACATGGTTCTCAAGGATCATTCAGGCAGTATTCTAAATTAGTGTCTTTCAGATCAAGCTGAGACAGTAATTTCTAAACGAAACTATTAGCATACACATGCTCCATATTCAGTTCTTTAACAGAGTTAAGATTCATATTATAATCAATACATGTACAATTACTTACTTGCTTCCTTCTGTAATGAGCAAACTGAGACAGGCCTAGAACAGTTGCAAGAGCACCTCCTCCAACAAGAACAGTCCCTTTTACTGCCTTTTGAAATGCCATTTCTTAGCCTACAAAGGGAAAAAAAAAAAAAAGGAAACAAAAAAGTTAATTGAGATTTTTATTGCATGATAGTTCCAATAATAAAAAGAGACTGTGTAGATTACAAAACTAAGTTAAACTAGAAAAGAAAACATAAAATCAGGAAGTTATTAACATGCCAATTTGTATACCACAATTCAAAAACAATACACAAAAAAAACCTAGACAAGGGAATTGACTATATAAAAGTTACCTTCCAACAGCCATTAAAGAAAGAAAATCAAAGAGACAACTGAGGATATTTAAACAGTATAAAGTCAAGAGAGTTGTGAAAAGAAATGTCATTGTGTATCTGACAAAACTGCATGCTGTACTTGCAAATTTGTTCCATCGTTAATCCCCTCCACAAGGAGAATGGGTAGAAGTCTTCTGTCACTCAACATAACAATGAACCTCATGCCTGCTTCAGGTTCATTGGCAAGTGTTTACTTCAAATTGTGGTGCAACACCCTGCCTGAGTTTTCTCCTTCCTAATAAAGTTCTTTCTAGAACTGAAAGCCAACACACATTTCTATCCCTAAAAGAGTCTACAATTTATAGATAAAAAGTCAAAGGAAACCATGCCTTGATCCTTTCACAAAGTGACAGATTTAACACTACTGTAATTCTTTTCATTAAGGCAACTTAAAAAAAGTTTCCTTCTAGCCAGAGTTGCATGACACCACAATTTCAAGTGGAAATCCTCCAGATCAAGCACTCTTTCATGCTCACTGAATATTTCTAAATAAAGTCTTGCATTGCGCTAGCTTTTGACTTTCTTTCTTCTGATTTGTTTTAAAAAATATTTCTGCTATTGGACTGATGAAATTAAGTTTTTTTGAGAACTTAAGCAATCTTTAAGTTTTTCAGAAACCACAAAAAAAAAAAAGCATAATAATGAAAATTCCACCAAAAAAAACCTCTTGCCAGCTTTTATTTGGCTAAATAAAAAAAGATAACACTGTGTAATCAATTAAAAAACAATTCTAACTCAGAGCTGATATTGAGCAATTTGACCTGCCTAAGCCTTTCATTCACATGAAAGGCACACCCACTGGGAAGCCACTACCCTATTTTCCCGAAAGGGTGGAGGTCAGACCTGTCTGGACAACACACCGTATACTCGACAGATATCTCATGACTCAAGAAAGTATTTAGTATGAAGTCAGTTTTAACCTAGGATAGTAATGAACATATAGTATCTCAACGTAAATTATAATATGGTTAAAATGTTTGGGTCCATATTGGATGGATAGAATCTACTAGCATGACTATCCTAAACCAAAGAATTTCAGTGCAGTTGGTAACTAGGATTCTACAGAAAATTCATTTTGGAATACTATAAATTATACACTAAAATAAAAGTTGGCATTTCTTATAATTTTATTTTTCCTCTGATTTCATTCCTTCTGACAAACTCCTAAATTCTAAGACTCATCTTTATTATTAAGATTCTCATCAGAAAAATATTTCACATGCATATCTGCTGCTGGAGATCTCTTCTTTACTGTCCCTTCTCTACATCAACTATCCCTTCTCTCCCAAGTTATGCAAAATAGTTGGTATATGCTGGCTAGGGGCCTCCATTCATCATTAAGTCAACCCTAAGCAAAACCTAATGTTCAAGGTTGCTCTGATAGTAAAAACTTCAACTTAGCCAAGTTGGAAGGCACCCATTTGTCATAGCTCACCATCACCATTCCTGATATTGCTGTAAATGCTCACGTGGGTGCCTATTGCACAACAATAGAAACTCCAGCAGCCCAGAGATAGAACGCTATCTCCAACCTAACTGGGTTCCCCTGACAATTAGGGACAGAGAACAGAGACCTAGTTCTATTTAGCCAAACAATGCATATGCCTGCTCCATATAGATGGCCTAGTGGTCACTTGGATGTGAGTTTTGTAGCTGATTAACGTTAGCTCAGTACCATTGCTTCTGTCTTATTGATAATGTCACTGATAACCTCACAAAGCATACCACATATCAACATAGCCAATTGAGGGATGTTATATCACATGTCTTAGCAGAGGTGTTCATTCTGCCAGTTAAGTTTGGAGCTAGCTTTTCCCATTGTGTGGGTCCCTGCATTCCCTGCTCACCTTATTATCTTGTTCAATTTGATTTGTCTGAAAGCAAAACTTGCTCAGAGGGATATTTTCATGGGTTTTCTCAATGACCCACTTATATTAATGAAAAAGTACATTAATATATTATTTTGTGGAGTTAGCAATAATATTGACTATAATCAATAAAGTTTCTTTTTTCAGTAATTTCATAAAATAATCTAGGCTTAATAGATCACTATTTCTATTGTGATTAAATCCATCCTTAAGATCATCTACCTACTTGTAATGAATAAATCACTCTTACAAGTAATTCAAAAACAAAAGCACAAAATCAGTCAATTTCACCTGGCTCTCTTAAGATTATTATTATTTTTATTGCTATAATGACAATAGTATCCATTTATTGAGTATTTGCTAGGTAATAGGTACTGAGCTTTTAATTCTTCACATACATCAGTTCATATCACCCTCACAACATCCTAATTTCATAAAAGAGGCAGTTGCGGTTCAGAGGGAGTAGGGGATTTTGCCCAAAGTCACTCCTTAGTAAGTGACAAAACCACAACTTAGTCTATGCTCTTAACCACTGGGCGGTTCTGCCCTGCCTTTGCTCTCAAAAGGCAACTTCTCCCCAAGAGTCACGCCATATTTTGCTGTTCCTCCCCACAGAGGGGCCTATTCTCAAACACTCACCCAAAGTGTACAGTCCCTTGGCATTCAGGTTTCTCCAAGGCAATGAAGAATCCTCTGACAAAACGTCTACTAGTAACCTTCTACCAGATATTGTAAGAACTTTGTTTTAATGTTGAAAGAAAGAAATTGAAAACCAGATAAATATAAATTATTTGCTGTGGACTACTTGTACCCATTTACATTCCATTATAAGCAGAAAATTTTCACAATGATTACAGAGAAGAAAAGACTGTTTCCTTCTAAGTAAAAGCTACAATCAGGAAGTTAGCAAAGAAGGGGAACAAAAATATCGGTAAATCTTTACCTTTTACAACGAAGACTGTGAAAAAACCAGAGGTAGAAAACTGGAGGTAGAAAAATCATCCAAAAATAAAATTAGCGTAGTTATCACAGCCTGATGTCCATGTTTAATAGCCTATGAATTCAATCACATGTACGTTGATTCAGGACTGGCTCCTGCATTTGTACAGACCAGTGCCAGCCCTCTAATTCTTGCAAGGAGAACACCAACCCAACTAAAGAAAACCCTAAATGAAAAGCTACTCAACTAAATATATCTGTGAGTTTATCAACTGCCCTCAAGGGGCTTACAATCAATTTGGAGGATTAAATATCAAAGTCTGTCTTTTGTAACTGTCTTAAAGCTAGTTGTGCTACATTAAGTGTTATTAATACTCTGATAGACAAAAGACTCCTGAATAGCCAAAGAAATCTTGAGAAAGTACAAAGCTGGAGGAATCATAATTTCTGATTTCAAACTATATTACAAAGCTATAGTAATCAAAACAGTATGGTTTTGGCATAAAAATAAACACATAGATCAATGGAATAGAATAGAGAGCCCAGAAATAAACCCATGCATTTATGGTTAATTAATTTTCAACAAAAGAGCCAAGAATATAAAATAGGGAAAGGATAATCTCTTCAATAAATGGTGATGGGAAAAGTGGACAGCCACATGCAAAAGAATGAAACTGGACCACTATCTTACACCACACACAAAAATCAACTCAAAATGGATTAACGACTTAAACATAAGACTAGAAACCATAAAACTCCTAAAACATAGAGGGTAAGCACTTTGACATTGGTCTTAGCGATGATTTTTTGGATTTGACACCAAAAGCAGAGACAACTAAAGCAAAAATAAACAAGTGGGACTACACCAAACTAAAAAGCTTCTACACAGCAAAGGAAACTAGCAACAAAATAAAAAGGCAATGTACTGAACGGGAGAAAATATTTGCAAATCATATATCTGATAAGCAGTTAATATCCCAAATATATAAAGAACTCAACTCAATAGCAAAAAAACAAACATTTCAATTTAAAAATGGGCAGAGGAACTAAATAGACATTTTTCCAAAGAAGATATACAAATGGCCAACGGATACATGAAAAGGTGCTCAAAATCACTAATCATCAGGGAAACGCAAATCAAAACTGCAATGAGATATCACCTCACACAAAAAAAGGAGATAACTGTTGATGAGGATGTGAAGAAAGGGACGTGCACTGTTGGTAGGAATGTAAATTGGTGCGGCCACTATGGAAAACAGTATGGAGGTTCTTTAAACATTAAAAATAGAACTACCATATGATCCAGCAAGTCTACTTCTGGGTATTTATCTGAAGGAAATGAAATCACTAGCTTGAAGAGCTATCTGCACCTCCACATTCATTGCAGCATTATTTACAAAGCCAAGATATTGAAACAACCTAAGTCTCTACTGATGGATGGATGAATGGATAAAGAAAATATGGTATACACACACACACACACACACACACACACACACACAATGGAACATTTTTAAGCCATTAAAAAGAAGGAAACCCTGCCATTTGTGACAACATGGATGGACTTTGAAGGCATTATGCTAAGTGAAATAAGTCAGACAGGGAGACAAATATTGTACGATCTCATTTACATATAGAATCTAAAAAATCCTAACTCACAGAAACAGAGAACAGATTGGTGGTGGCCAGAGGCAGGGAGTAGGGAGTGAGGGAGATGGGTGAAAGGGATCAAAAAGTACAAACTTCCGGTTATAAAATAAATACTAAGTTCCGGGGATGTAATGTACAGCCTGGTGACTATACAATAGTTAACAATACTGAATTGTACATTTGAAAGTTGCTAAGAGAGGAAATCTTAAAAGTTCTCATCACAAGAAAAAAAATTATAACTATGTGAGGTGATAGATGTTAATTTAACTTATTGTAA